AATACGATCGCGGGGTCCAGTTTCGACGGGATTATCTCAGCCGTTAGAGCACTACCTGAGCTGCCGGTTGGGCAGTGGCTTAGTTTGGACCCCAAAATTACTATCCGTCCCCATGTGTCCAGACTTGCCTGGACCCTGCCTTTAAGCTGGTAGTATAGATTTACCTTTGTGAAAACGGCTCAGCGTTGCTTTAAAAACGAAAACTTTCTTCTCTCAGTTTCTAGTGAAGGAAAAATGCAGCAACTGCGCATATGGATGTTTGATATCGAATGTATGGATGCATGCAAGAAGAAGATTCCCAGAAATTTTTTAGACGGAATCTGGTTTTTTTTCGATTTTCTAGATATTTAGAGCTCTCCAAATTTAGAGCTCAAATTTACCGTGAATCAAATTTGGCGCTAAATTATGATTGCCATCTAGAGCTTGCTCTGCTCTATCGAACAACCCCTTGCCCTTTCTTTGGTTGAGAGTGGTTGTTTTGCTAAGCCAAGCAATTAAAACGACATTATTTTCTTGATAACTTAATGCCTTCAAAAAGAGTTTAAATCAAGTGAAAAGCAAAACCTTGGCCTCTTCTGTAACAGCCTGTTGTTACTGAGTGCACTGGGAAAACAATACAGATGGAATGTGAATGAAGAAAGTTGAGCTTGAATTAGAAATTACAAATTTAATGAAGCTTGAATTAGTGCAAATTTAATGAAGTTTGAATTAATGCAAATTTAATGAAGCTTGAATTAGTGCAAATTTAATGAAGTTTGAGTTAGTGCAAATTTAATGAAGCTTGAATTAATGCAAATTTAATGAAGCTTAAATTGAAAATTGCAAATTTGATGAAGACAGTTCTTGGTCATAAAAATGCACTGTGAGCATTGAGAAATTGAGAAACAAAGTTATTTCACAATACAATCGCTCGCTGAACAAAAGCACGTGATTTCGATTTCTCTGGTCTTTCACTATAGTAGTGCAAAGAAGTTAATTCTATCCGAACATCAATTTCTCACCACCATTCACAAGACTTCGAACTTCCAAATGCACTTTCGATCAAAATGATTTCTCTGCAATGCACTCGTTTCTAAGTGCTGTTTTCGAATGCAGCCAGTTTGGGGACGTGGTGACCGAGTAATCACAAGTCGTGTAGGCGAATGCATAAAGTTACAAATTGAGTGTAATAATAAAGCAAGGTTGGTGATTCACCTACGGAATTGTTAGCAGACAGTTTCAACCAGCATTGCATGTTTTCTTTGATACACAGCTATTCAGTATCAATGGTAAAATTTTAAATTTGTTTTCGCGGCAACTCCTTAAAAAAGCTGACAATCCATAGACTAATTCCATTCCTCGGAATCGCATTCGAAAGGAAACCGACCATTCCCGAAAGCATTCTTCAGCTGGAATATAGCAGTTAAAATCACTCACCGGAGTACAATGGTTTCGAATAATAAAAGACTCCAAAAATTGTACCAAATGAGTTAAGCATTGGAAAAATGGGGAAAATCATGAAATTGGTCGGGATCTTGTTAACAACCAATGAAAAACGGTGTCATGTTCTGTAATCCATAGCTAGCCTGAAATGTAACCAAAATCAACTTTTTCCAGCCGCAGGGCGAATTTTGAAAAAGACAAAATTTCTACATACAACAAAAAAGCGAGATTGAATTCATTTAATTATATCGCAGTTCTGCATACTCACGCCATAATTTTGACGCACTTATAGTAAGATTTAACAAAAGTTTTATGACCTCCTCCTCCCAAATGAGAAAATTTCATGCTGTTTCAGAGCTACGAAAATCTACGATGTTCGAAAAAAAACATTTAGAAGCGGCAAGAATTTTTTGGCATTCTCCCTGAAAATCACAGCTTTCCGAGAGACTCTTATCAACATAATCTTGTTTAGCTAGAAAGAGGTCTCAAAAACTTATGTCAATGAATGTTGGATTTTATTGCGTTGTTTCCATCTGGCGGGCTTGCATAAAATCAAGAACCATTAGAAAAAAAAGAGAGATGCAGAAAATGCACGTCTGGATGTATCTCTTATTGTATGCGAGGTTTATAACCCGCAAAGCGCACAAAATTTTTGGGACAACCCAGTATTAGGTTGGACTTTTTGAGTAGGTAAACGGTACAAAATCCAATTTTTTGGCATCGATAGCTGTATTTTCAGTTTTTTTTGAAAAAAGTCTTCCAAAAAGGCTTCGCATGTGCGAAGTCGTGAAATATACAAACGCTTCGAGCATTACGAAAACTTCGCAAGCTGCATTCTTCAAAAATCATCGTGGTTAAACACTAATTTTAACAAACAAATGGGTTTCTACAGCTTCGTAACATTGATTTTTTGAAATTTTCGGGTGCACCCTGGGACGCATCAAAAAACTAGAATTTTGGAAATTTTTTCCTTGAGGCTTTTACGAATCAAATAAACAAAGATCCGTCAAAAAGCTGATGTTCTAAAGGGGGATAAACAGTAGCATCAATAATTAGAAAATTTGGAAAGCTAGTATCGATGTCAAAAAAGGAAGGTACTGCATTACATTTTGTTTATTCTGACTAAATGAAGCATTTTCAAAAGTCCAGAACAATTTTAAAAATGAGCAAAAGTTAGAGATTATGGCGAGTTTCGAAAAAACATTGAATGAATCCAAACAGACAAATCACTGCTGAAAAAAAAAAGAAGTTCTGCATAGAACATTGCTTGGAATGTTTGCCTATCGTTGTTTTGAATGACCTGAGGATAGGTCAAAAGAAGCACGAACTTTCAAACGCACTTAGAATATGTAAAGGTGACTTCCACCCAAGTATCTGCCTTGTAAGCCATTTTGTGCGGATTCTATTTTGTCGTCCATAAAATTTCACGTAGGTCGCAATGAATAGTCAGTTAGTTCTGATCCCACAAACCTAGATAGTCTTGATTAATGCAAAATAATAGTTTTTTGGCAAGACTTCTTTTTAAATTGACACTTGTCTCAAAAAATAGAACGCAGGTAATTTACCCAATTTAGGATAATAAAATAGAAAGATGAGGTTAACTACAAAAACAAAACAAACACAAAGGTAAACAGCAGGGTAAGATAAAACAGACGTCTTCAAAATTGATCCATCTTAATTCATCGGTCTGAATAACTATGCCCTTCAATGCGAAGGACATATTATTTTCATATACTTGCAACACTGACTGCATAACTCATTCCAAGTCTTCCTGTTCCATGCGATCTGCGTGTAATTTTGTGGACGGCAAAACAGAAACCGCACAAAATGGCTTACAAGGGAAGGATATTTGGGTGGAAGTCAAGTTTACCTATACCTGGTGCGTCCGAAATTTCGTGTCTCTTTTAGACCTATCCTCAAATCATTCAAAACAACGAAAGGTAAACACTCCAAGCAATGTCCTATGCAGAATTTCTTTCTTCAACAATGATGTCTCTATTCGAATTCATTCAATGTGCTTTCGGAAGTCGCCAAAATCTCTAACTTCTGCTCAGTTTTGAAATTTCTCTGGACTTTTGACAATGCCTTAATAACAGTCAGAATAAACAAAATGCAATGTAACACAATTTTTTGACATCGATATAGCTTTCCAAATTTTCTAATACTATCGTTTTGATGCTACTAAATTTGATATTGTTTATCCCCCTTGTAGAACATCAGCTCGACGGATCTTTATCATTCTGATTCGTAAAAGCCTCAAGTAAAAAATTTCCATAATCTAGTTTTTTGCAACGTTCCTGGCTACACCCAAAAATTTCAAAATCAATATCACAAGACTGCAGGAATTTACTTGTTTGTTAAAATTAATGTTTATCATGATGATTTTTAGAAACTCCAGTTTGCGAAAACTTTGTAATGTTTGAAGCGTTTTATATTTTATACTTTACGAATGTAAAGCCTTTTGAAAAACTGGTTTCCAAAGGAAAAGGCAGCTATCGATGCCAAAAAATTGGAATTTGTAGAATTTACCAGACTCAAAGTTCTAACTGAGAACACTATGATTTGATTTGCAAGTTTTAGATAAGCCTGATCACTAATAATTTGTACGCTATTTGCAACAATCATGCGTCGCCTTGCTTCACTGATAATCCACATCAATGATAAGCACTTCGCTAAGTCCATAATTTGCTAACCATGTGTTCTTCAACGCAAGCCTATTTTTTTACACAAAATACTGGACTTTAGGAGAATAAAATATTTTACGCAAACTACTCGGAAACAGACTGCATAAAAGACTTTCAATCGTGGAGGAACAAATTTGAACCTACAATAAATGGACCTACATTAAATTGAGCTACACCCAATTGAGAACACCATGATTTGATTTGCAAGTTTTAGATAAGCCTGATCACTAATAATTTGTACGCTATTTGCAACAATCATACGTCGAAAAAATTTAAATTGAGTTGGACCTACAATAAATTGAGCTACTCAGAACCAGAATAGCGAATGAATTCCTACAATTTTCGCAGCCAATAACCAAACAGACAAGCAAAGCCTGGCACCAGCTGGCACGGGGCAAGCTGGATATCGTTTTTGACAAAAAGCAAAGGGGACATGGTTTTTGTCAACAAGTTGCGACGTTTTTTTTAGTCGACGTTTCGTTTTTTGTGGGTTTTTTTAGGTTTAGGGTTTGGGGTCAAGGGGGACTTCGTAAAAGTTCTCAGACACTCGCGGTTGACTCGCGCAGGGGATCCGCCCACAAAATGGGCGTTCGCAGCAAAATCCGGTGGACCGGCGCGAGTCATCGTTTTAGTTTCGCCCCGATTTTAGTGCGATTTTGCCGCGACGGGCGAAGATTTCGAAATAACGCACATATAGGTCAATTCTTCCTAGCTTTTCTTGCTTCTCTTCCTTTCGATTTGAATTACTCTTTCAATTGTTATTGCGGGGGGGGGGGGAGGGTGCTTCAGCACTTTGCTTTCCATTGTTTTTCAATCTTTTTGCTTGAAACAGTGGATCCCAACACTTTCTAACTCGATATTTTTGAGATTACTTGTGTGTAGAAAGTTAATCAGATGTTATCTTACCATGTGCAGACAAGCATTGAAACACTTCCAAGTTCATCAGACTCGGTTGTCCGAGCTCTTACTTCTGTCGTGAGGGAGCAAATGCATACCATTGCAGGATTGTCTCTAACAGTAAGCGTGTTTCCGCAGGGTTCAAGAATAACAATTGGCGTGTTTGCAGGTGAACGCCCTACTATCTAAGCTGAAGGAGCAAGACAAAGAGTTGAAAAGGACTACTTTTCACGTTGCAAGAAATCGAGAGATATCGTTGCCAGAGGGTTACACACTAGAAAGAAAAAATATATCGAGGGTCTGGCATCGTGACAGTTCACCACCCTTCAAGGTCTTTAGACACTATTCTCAGTCAACGAGGAAAAAACATTAGTTTCAGGAGTTCAATATGGTTGAAGTCATGGAAAAATGGCAGAGACCAAAACGCGCGCATGACCATGATCATTTCCTTTTGGTGCTCGACTTTATGCGACACTTCTTTCTAAATGTAAGCGACAAATAGATGAAGATGATAAGGTTGTCTTGTAATCACCGTTTAGGCGTGCGAACCACCTACGAAAATTCAACAGTACGCCTGTAGACAGAGCGGAAAGAAGGGAAAATTTGACCATCTTAAGGACCTCCCGGAAGGATTAGTCGATTTCTTAATAAGTGGGTCAATGTGTATTTGAGTACATTACTTTCAATAACTAATTTAGGTTTCATCCTTGACGCTCTTGGCCTACACCGCGACCAGCTTTTGAGGACGCCAGATGAGCACAAACGGAATCCAAATAAGTATGTATGTTCTCGAAAGACCTTCATGTCCACTAGAATTTAGGTGGTGGTTGGACTTGGCCGAAAATGACGACGCTCGCGAAAGATTATTCCACGTCCTCTCAGAGAAAAGAGTAATCTGGAGCGGTAAAACGAGGATAGCAATAGGGAGAGCTTTGTGAGTTTTCTCATACAGAAAGCGATACTTCTGAACTATAATTTTGCAGGGAAGACCTTCGAAGGTATCATTTTGACCCTGATAGGGCCATGCTCCTTCCATCAAAGGTGATTCATTTGTTTTATACGATCCTGGTAACAATAATTTTTCATTTTCAGAAAAAGCGTGTCATGGTCGAAGGCAGCACTGTTACTAAAAAAGACGAAGTGATCCAGAAGACTGAAACCGTCGAAGACGAAGTTGAAGTAGTCGAAGACTGATGCTGTTCTCATTCTTAGTCGTAGTTTTTTCGTAATGTGTCGTTTTTGTGGTGTTTTCAATCCTGTAATTGCTGCTGACTGTGCATATCATTTCCATGTCATTGTAAACTCTACTCGAGAAGATCATGCGGTATTTGTTAATAAATTTTATGACGTAAGACTGGGTTTTATCAGCAGAAAAGAAACAAGCGTGAGAAACGGGACCCAGCGCGACAAAGGACTCAAGGTAAGTCAAAAGGAAGGCATGAGAGAGCGCTTAGAAAACGCAAAAAGCTTTCACTAAGGGCGTAGACCGCGTGCTCTGAACGATCGCGACATTTTGGTGTCTCGCGCAGGTGTCCTGATTTTGCCCCGATTTTGCCGCGCACTTTTGCCGCGACACAAAATCAGGTGTCCTGATTTTGCCGCGACACCGATTTCGCGAGTCGCCCACGCATTCAATGGCTACACATCGTTTTGCCCTGCGCGAGTCAACCGCGAGTGTCTGAGTTAGCTAAAATTAAGGGTCGTTTTGAAAATTTCCTGGTGCCAGCTCGTGCCGAGCCCTGCAGGCAAAAGTTAACAGGGGGATGGTCAGAACTTAACCCAGCCATTCCAAACAGTTGTACATCACTGGACTTGCCTGAAACGCTGACTTCAAAGGTAAGCTTATTATCTGCCAAGCGCCTATCTGAAAAGTTATGAACGTTTGAGTATGATAACTTGTTCAAATTTCAGCGAGTAAAGTTCTTTAAAAAGGTATCCTGGCGACGCGTAATCACACTGTTAATATTATTTTAATTGCATGAAAGACCCAGATTCCTATAAACCTAAATATTTTTGAAACGGTTTTTGTGGGATATGCGCTACAGGACAGTTAATAAATACACACAATCAAGCGCTCATAACTCCTTTCAGATAGTCGCATAGCATAACGCATACATTGGAATCAGTGTTGCAAGTGGAGTGTGGTGGTATACAACTTGTTTGGAATGGCTGTGTTAACTTCTGACTATTCCCTATTTAGCAAAAATGAGTTATATATGTAGTAAGATTTACTTTTCTCTAAGAAAACTTTTCATTTCACAAATGATCTACAGAGTAGCTTGATTGAGTCTCACCACGCGTTGTATCAACAAGCATCACAGTCTTGTCTTATATTTCATAAATGTGCAGGATCAAGCTTTGCCAAGTACCTCAGTTTAAAAGGAAGGGAGCACAGTCGGAATGAAGATTGAAGAGTAGAGAGAAAGTCATGCTGAACTTTGTCTTTGCAACACTTTATTTTCCCTGATGGCAAGCTTAAGATCACGAAAGTAAGTGAGGATAACCCTTATCAAATTTGAGGTTTACTACTTTATGCACCGAAAACATTCCCCTTCAAAGCCCAAAAGGTTAGAAGCTATTTCATTAGATAATCAAGATTTGAACAGGCCGATGCGCTTTGAAGTCAAGAAATGTAAAAGCTTTTTGAGAAGTTGAATGAAGTGGCACAAGCGACCACGGTCAGTAGTCAAATGTTGAACAGTTGATCTGTTTTGCACTTCATTTATTTGAAAAGGGAGCTTTTTACGCGAATTGTTTCAAATACTCCTAATCACTTTGAAGGGCACTGAACGCTGATTTCAAAGCTACTTTTGATATCCGCCAAGCGTTATTGGGCGCCGAGTTATGAGTGCTTTTTGGAGCTGAAAATGAACTCAGAATTAAGTAAAAACAATGGTCATGATGAGTGATCTCATAATCAGAAGCTGACCATTTCTGCAATTCTGAATTTCAGTTGCACATTCAATTCTTGACTCAAAAATGCTCATACCAACTCTAATTACCCCTGATCCCATCTCCCTTGACAACATAGGGTTTGCATAATGCTGGTATAATCAACTAGATCTTTTAGTCCACATACTGGTTTTCTGAGCTGCATTGCATCGTATTTATGTCCTCTAATCTTATTTAGCAACGACTAGCATTATTGTACGAAAATTTCACAGCGAAAGCACACTTAGCAACCGTAGCCTTTTGATATGTGATATAAGCCACGACGTTGATCTCGAAACGCTATTGACTTTCATTATGTGTGCAACGTTACTTTGAAAGAAGTTATGAACGGTGTTAATCCTCGTACTTGGCCGTTTGCACAAGAGTACGAGCAATGTCGATATGTCTTATCCTGAATTCACGCGTACGGAGTGCAAGATTTTCTTCTAAAATTGACCAGCCCAAACACTCCAAAAGATTTCGGGACCAGAGAATCCTATTGTGCTGCTGTCTGCTGCCTAAGAGAATCATGCGGCATAAGAATCGTTCTTCGAAATACAGCAAAGCAGCTGAGCGGTCCCTTGCAAAATCGAAAAGGTGGGATTTGTACGTGAAATTAGAGTAAAGTGGCAAGTAATCGGTTGGAGCACTCAGCGGAAGTTTCTCACACATTTGAGCCATGAACCGTTCCCGCGAATACTTAAGGGGTTGATGTGTTGGATTATTTCTTAGACAATGGCGTTTGCTCTTTGTTTTATGCAGCCAATCTGTTTTGACGAACGCTACTCCTTTTTGGAGTTACTGAGCACATAGCACATAGTAAAATAGTTTTGAGATAAAAGCATTTTGATACATGATACATTCCGAAACACCGCGAACGCTAAGTATCCCTCCCTATCAAATTTTGTGCAGTTTTCCTTATGCTTGTTGACCCAAAAACGAATTATACCCTCACTTAGCAATCATTTTTGCTGTGATTGTCCCTACTCCACTAGCACCAACATTTCAGAAAGCCAAGACAGCTTTGAAATTTTTGGCGGACAAACACATTTTGGGCACAGCTCATGATTAGAAGCTGGAAAAAAGCTAATGATTGACCAAGCTAGGTCTTTCAGAATCTTAGTGTAGTAGAAGGAGACGTAGACGAAAAAATAGCTTGAGTCTCTGAAACAAATTTCACACAATTATGAAAAAAAGACTTAGTGGCATGTTAGTATTGTTATGTAAGGTGGGAAGAAAAAAACTATGTTTTCAAAAGCTTTATTCTATATGTAATCTAATTGTTTTGGCAAATGAATTCATATCTCATCATTTACATCAGAAGATCTACATTATTCATGAACAAAGTGGTGAACGTCATTATGCCCCTCGTCAGCTTTCACTCTACGGTAACATCAGCGATAGGGAAATCAAAATGGAAAATCTACATAGTAAGTAGTTTAATGGAGCTGTCTCTTAGAGAGAGAAGGTAACATGATGTGCATTTGTGCAATATCAAGCACAAACTCACACGTACTTTCTTCGCATTTATTAGACTGTGCAATAAGTTTGTTCGCGTTTGTTTCAATTTTTTCTCAATGTTTTGCAGAGCATTTGGCAAAATGTTAGTATGCGTTCGGCAGCTCTAAATCTGTTCTACCAGACTTTTACTATAATAACTCAATTCTTAGAAAGTTGAACAAGTAATCACATATCGAAAAATGTGAGGAGGAAAAATTCCATTTTCGACATCTTTTCTTACTATCCCGTTATTCAGTGTTAAAGTTCATTCCAAAAGCTTGGCAACAACAAAAAAAAACAGACTTATCATTAATGCACTTACTGGAACTGTCTATGTTTGCGACCGTTTTATGCCATTTTTGCAAAAGTCGGCGTAGCAAGGCTTTGCCGCAGCGGTGTTCGTTGTCTCGCGTATTTGAGCTGTGTGTCTCCCAAATTCTGAGATTTGACTATATAACCATTTATTCGATGATTTAACGACCGTAGACCATTGTCTGCCATTCCTGGATTGTTCGGCTACAGGGCTCGGCACGAGTCCGTTTCTAGGGTTTCTATAAACGAAGTCTACCCTAACTTTCAGAAATTTTATGAAGTCCCTTTTGACCTATCTACTTAAGAGAAGATGAAAACAAGTAAGATTTACTAGCCTGAAAGAAAAAACGTGAGATGAGAGTGAAAATCCAGTTTGGAGCTGAATACCACGCATGCACAAGGGTTTGGCATTGGAGCGCGATATTTAACAAAGCGATTCATGATGAAACTAAGGCAAAAACAAAGGAGAGGTGATGATGTGAAAATGTCATGCTCTGGGATAGATTTTCGACCGGGGAATCCGTTCATGATAGAATAATCCAAAACTTACGTGAAGTGACAGAAATATATGCTCCAGACGGTTTAGATTGTCTGGAGACCGTCTGGAAACGGACTTTTGGAAAAAGTATTTCTTCACTTAAGTTTTCAAAAATCTTTACACAATCTTTACACCCTGTATACAGTTCAATTCTGCTGTCATATGATTCTGTGTGCGCCGCAGACAAGCAATTTGCTTATTTTAGCTTTGCTTTCAAAGCGCGCACTTTTCGCCAACACGACAGAGCATGTCACTCGTTTGATTATCTGTCCGAAAAGTTTGTGTTCGACTAATTGGCGCTTCTTCTTCGTGCTCGGCCCCGACAGGTCAAAAACGATATCTCCTTTGCTTTTTGTCCAAAAAAGAAGTCCAGCCTGCTTTCAGACATCTGTGCCCGGCCCCTGTTCGGCTACCATCCTTCCAAAGGTGTCTTCAGATGTTTAACGTTGACGCCGAAGAGACCCCTATTTTTATGCTCACAATCTGAATTTTTGAAAAATTTTAGCACGTATAAGTAATCTGCGGGAGCTAGAGTATTCTACTAGTACACGTCGCAAAATTTTTGAGCTGTTTCTTGAGAGTTCAAATTCATTCAATAAGCAGCGTAACATAGCTATCAAAAATGGTATTTTCACTCTTTCAGATTCGGTTTGTAGAAATTTTTTATTCAACCTTCAAAAAATTGGAGATATAATGTTGGTAGAGCAGACTTAGAGCTTCCGAATGCATACAAACACTATGCAAAATGCTTTGAAAAACACTGACAAAAGAGAAAAAAGAGAATAAATGAGAAAAAATGAGAAAAAAGAGAGAAAAAGAAAAGAAGTGAGAAAAAATTGAAACAAGAAATGCGAACGAACTTATTACCAACCTAGCAGTTGAAGGCTGGTTGAGGTGTAGTTCATCGCAAAACGGATTAACTGCCGTTAGAGAGAATCTAGTTTGCACAAGTTTATTAGAAACTAGATGGCAAACCCGGCTCCGCCCGGAACCAAACTTTGCACACATACACTTCGGGGCAGGGAGCGTGTCATAGTCCACTTTTCGTTATCGATCGATGTCGATTTTGC